GTCAATGATATTAGTAAAGACATTGATAATTTTTTTGCACATATGTTATTTTTTAGAAGTTAATGTATTTTTTCCCTTTATTCTTTTAATTATTTTTACCTATTATAATTCAAATAATAACCTTATTTTAAAATAAATAAAATTAGCCTGATTCAAATAATAACCCTTTTGTAAATATATTTCTTTATTCTTTATTTTTTATTCATATTAATATATTAGCTTTTACTTAATAGCCTTTCTTTAATAGTTATTATATCTAGATTATATTCTTGCATTTTTAATTGATAAAATCCTATTTAGTGTTGCTAGATTTTTTCAATTTGACTTTTCTATCTTGCTGTCAAATCATTACATGACCTAAAGTTTAATTTTTAACAGGAAATATGGAAGAAATTTGTGCCATAACTTTACACTAACAAACAAAATAGAAATGAAAAATGGAAACATATTAAGTTAAAATTAGTTTACAAATAAATTAATTTGCAAAAATTTTCTCGTATAGTTTTTTTTCTATAATTTGTAAATAAGTTTATGTATAAAATTAATTTTAATTTATGAAAAAAAATTCTATAAGGATTTTTAAAAATATTTATTCAAACAAGCCCGATAATTACTATTGCCAAATAGCGAAGTAAGCCCGATAAATTAATTTTCTTCGTGTCCCATTTACTTATGTTTGTTTAGAAAGATTTAGAATGAACTGAATTAAGGATTAAATGAAAATGGAAATAAAAAATTAAAAAAAATGGTTGGTTGAGATGAAAATGTAAAGGAATAGAACAAATTGAGTGGTGCCAAGAAAAAATTAATATGTACTGGCTGGGAATGCATCAGGGTAGGGATGAGTTAGTACACAATGGAAATAAAAAAAAAAAATATATTAAAAAAAAAAAATTGGTTATAGTGGTTTCTTAAATTTAGTGACTATTGCGGATAGCAAATAAGATGCACTTCATATAACTATTTTATTTTAAATTCATTTATTGTTTTTACTTTGATTTTGTATGACTGGTTTACTTTAGTTTATTAACCATCTTAACTACTTTATATATGTTTCAATTTTATGTTATAGCTATTCATTTATGGAATTTGATCTATGAAGAATAAAAGTTAAAGTTATTAATCACGTTATAAAAAATAAAAATAAAAAAACAATGTTCCAATAGTAGAAACATCACATTGAATTGATAAATATTTTAATTTTTTATTCTTAATAATAAATTTTTAAAATCACAAAAGTCAAATCTAATTATTTTATTCAAATTTTATAAAACATTTAAATTAAGCCAAATTATATCGCATTAAATTTTTTGTTTAGTTTCATTGACTTTTAAGTCAAAAATTAAATCAAACTACACCACAAATACTCATATTAACCTTACCGAAGTGTTAATACTTTATTAACATCATAAAAAAATAAAATTTGAAATTTTTTAAAAAAATATTTAGTTGTATTTTAATTAAGGGATATGTATTGAATTGAGATTTTAAAAGACTATTTTTAATATGAAAATTTTTTGTGAATTTTAAAAGATTTTAAAAGTGTCATAACTTTTAATTTTTTTAAAAAATTTTAAAACAAATTTTAATCAAGAGTTTATAGTCAAGTTTTCATGGATTTTATCGGATTTTGGTAGATTTATATCATAAGATTTTAAAGAATTTTATGAATTTTACAAGAAAACATGAATTTGTAAAACACATTTAATACTACAAGAATTAATAAAAAAAAATATAACATAAATAATTAAGAAAAAAAGTAAAATCAACATAATTTTTTTTCTATCTTTTGATAAGTAATTGTCTTTATATTTTGATAAATAATTGATTCTAATGTTCTCTTAATTGATATTTCTCTACATATCTAAAGTTATACTAGTTCTCTATGTATTGACATATTTTTCTCATATTGACATATTCTGTTTATGCTCTTGAATCTGGTCAATATGTTCAAAATTATAATATTCATTAACTAATATTGTAACGCCCGATTTATAATATTGAATATATTTTTTCCTTAATAATATTGTCATAATTATATCATTAATAATATTTTTCACAAGGACAAAGAAAATTTTGTGAATTTATTACATGACATATCATTCTAAAAATATTTACAAATATGTACTATTTTACACATTTTTCATTTCTTCCATCTCTATTACAATAATTACATTAGTAGTGAAAATAAATTTACAATTTGACTAGTACGGTTGGCAGAAAGAAAAATATATGAATGTAATCATATGTCTTCAAAATGTAACAGAGTTGAAAACAACATCCACATCCCAATTCCATCCAAGGAAGACAGCAGTAATAACAACTGTAAAATGTCTTAGAATCGTAGGTACATCCGTTTATTTTGTAATATATTTAATTTGAAAAACAAAGAAAAGCGAGGAGTGAGAACAATACCCAATAAATATAATAATTCAAAAGAATATACAGAATTATTTATAATCAATATTGAACATATGTATATATAATCAGAATAAATTTATAAATAAAATTTGAATTATAATTGTAGTGACTAGTCAGGATAAATGAGCATCATCAATTCATTATAATATCAACCAATAAAAGGATATTTCACCTTAACTAACAAGAGGATATTTCACATTCATTTCTTACTCATTTAAATCTCCAAGGTCAAACCTCCAACTACAAATAATTTAAACTTTATCTTCTATGGCCATAGAATAATTTTTATCTTCATAAATACATGAAAAAATAACAGCAAGACGAGTCCAAGATATCAAAATTATATTATAATATATATTTACATTAAATAAATTTGAATAATATTTACGTAAAAAGAATATATTAAGAGTCTCAATCATATAAATGAAAATGACATTTATTATAAAATAATTAAAAACCATAAAATATGAACACCTTAATAATTATTATGGATAAAAATAATCATAGATTAAGCAAATAAATGAGGTTAGGAACACCTCACTAAATAAATATACATAAAATATAATGCAAATAAATAAATATAGTAGTATATAAAATTTTAAAGAGATAAAGTTCTCCTCCCCCTTACCTTAGAACATCAACTTATCTGCGAAAAATCTTCAAGATCATCTTCCTACTCACTTTTTCTTTCTCTCTCTCTCTCTTTCTCTCTCTAAGTTTTCACTTTAGTATGTTATAATTTTTCACAACCCCTCCTTCCTATTTATAGAAGTCTGGAGTAGCCAGAACGGCCCGTTCTAAATCCGGAACGGCCCGTTCTAAATCTGGAACGGCCCGTTTTAAAACCAGAACGTCCCATTCTAGGGTTGATATTTACTCACAACGACCATAATTGGAACGCTCCGTTTCCAACTAAAATCTTTAGGCATTTTTTATAACTTGGAACGACCCGTTCCACTTTTTAGAACGGTCCATCTTGGGCTATCAAAATTTTATGAAAAAATATATTTTTTTTAATAATATTTATTATTTAATTGACATACTCATAATTAAAAACTTCCAAAATATTATATAAAAACTCCTTTAATTAATTATAAGAAAATAATCTTCATAAAAATAAATAATAATTAACTATTATATTAGTAGAAAATTTAGAATGTTACAAACGATAAAGATTCATCCACTAAATTAATTAAAAATTTATGAGAACGACATTCTTTATAAAAAAAAAAAAAAGTTATATAATATTATACATGTTAATATCAATTCAACTTGTGTATTAAATAAAAATATAGGCATTGACTTAAAAATTATAAAACTTGATTTAAAAATATCAAATATCTTTTTAATTATATTTGTTAAGAATGCGTGACGTAAACTTAACATATTTTTATTTTAAAAATCATTATCATAATTTGCAAAATCTTAAAAATGATATTACACACCTCAAAATGAAACTAAAAATTAATATCTAAAATCCACAATCCATTAAAAAATATTTATCTATTTACATATTTATTAATGCATAAAATTAGTATAAAAAGTTAAAATATATATATATTATTATATTAAAAAATATATTTACCTAGATATACTTTAAGTCTATTTTCCCCTATCAAAGCATCACTTAATAATTTAAAATTTAAAATCATAAAATGAACCCTTCTACTGTTAAGAACATACATAAGCATACATCCTAATTATTTTAATTAAATATTACCTAACTTTTCATATTAAAACAAATCTTAATTAAATATCACAAAAAAAATTATAATAATTTTTTAAAAAAATCTTTTAAAATCTCAATTTAATACACCCATGAAATTATCAAAAGATAAGATTGATGGCCTATAAGCAAACTACTATTTCAGTCAACCTAAATTTATTTGATTTTGACATTATGACCCCAAAGAATTTTTCACTTAACTATCACTCCCAATCTGAAAATTAATCTCAATTATATATGTAAAAACACCACAAAGGTAATAGAATCCACTTATAGCCTTTTTTATTATTTATTTCCATGTTAGTCAAAAAAATAGTTATTTCCATTTAATAACTTAGTAATACAAATTTAAACAATAATATAATTGGAACAAAAAGCCCACTAAAAATCCACTATGCAATAACTTAGTTAGAAAATATTCGGTAAATACTTAGTACCAATAATATAAGAGTTAATCATTCATATACGCCCAGTGTAAAAATTTTTACACTGACAACCAATCATATCTTTTAAAATTACTTATTTTATTATTATTTCATTAAATAAACAACTGACATGACACTATTAAAAGATATGATTGGTTGCCAGTGTAAAAAAACTTTACACTAACGGTGTATAAGTGATTAACTCATAATATAATAATAATAATAATAATTACATTATGATTTCACCCTTTGATCGAAATCAATTTAGTGCCAAACACCCTGTATATATTAATTTCATAGTAAACGGACAACTTAGGTCCTGGCCATTCTAATAGCATAGCTTTTGAGTTTTTATGAGAGCTAATCTTTTATATCCAACCATGACACATACAACATACAAGTTTAACTTAATAGACGGGAAAGAAATGTGAGACGTCACTGAATGATACATTGCTACAAGGGAAAAAAAATGCTTCCCACTTAGGTAAGTAAGTGATGCTATGAATATATTAGATTTGTTTCCCAATTAAATGTGAATAATATAATAAGGGAGAGAGCAAGAAAAGAATACCACCACAATTTCAGGTAGTATTTTATATGCTAATTAATTCTATAAGTAGATCAAATGCTCTCTAACACTAATAAGATTGTTTCTTAGCAACAATCAATCATTCTGTGAGGACACCACCATGCCGTTGCATAGCAACAACTGGCTCACTGCACCTGGAACACCTAAATGATGGAGCAGCAGCACATCGTGTCCGAAGACAATAGTAACAATATCTGCCACAAATAAATTGTGAACCATTGCTTAGTACTCTTATAATGAGAAACAGCTGAATTTGAAGCATGAATATAATACATAAAGTTGACATCTACGAGCACTCCATAGCCATAATTATAAACCCTCTGAATTAACAATAGGAAAGTTTCTAGCGGCAAAACAATAATGTGAAATGAGTACATATCTAGAGAGATGAACCTGTGCTGACAAGGTAGAGCAACAAAAGGAATGGTTGGAGTAGCCTGGCAAATGGGACATGCTGTGCCATCCTCGGCTGAACTTGATGATTTATCTTTAGAAAAAGGTCGTAGGAGATTTTTCACAGATGATGAATTAAGAAGAGGAAGAAGCAATAATAACATTTCCTGCCATCAGAAAATGACATAATTAGCTCCAAGGGATTATAAATTAAGAAGTGAAACATTCTTGCAAATTTACTTGCCATCAAAACCAGAGGGACACATCTAGTTTCAAGATAGCATGCAGCTGTCGTAAAATACCCAAAACAACTAATAGAATCTCTCAGGACGCAACAAACATTTTTAGTAATTGGAATAGACTGTTTGAGTTAATTTAATTAAGCACTTATTCAATAAGTTAATCAAAGGAAGGTTTATTTATATGTTTGATTGTGGTACTGGTTGAAATAAGCTAAAAAAAGCCCCAAACTATTCGGACACAGCCATCATAACCTTCGGTCTGGCCCTTCCTTATATGACAAACATATAACTAGTTCCCCTCCATTCTTAATCACTTCCAGCCTAATTAACTACTAACTATTCTTGGGCCCTCAAGTATAACCCTGAAGTGATTTAGGGGCCGCAAGGGTTCAGGCAGTGTTTTAAAACCCGGACCGACCCGGCCGGTCGGACCGGTTGGACCGGGAACCGGTGGTCCAGCCGGTCCGAATCTGAAGTTGGATCGGTTATGCAGTCGACCCGTTTCAAATCGGATTGAACCGGTCAATTTTCCGGTTCAACCGGTGAACCGGTGGGTCAAACCGGTTCAACCACTTTTTTTTTTTTTTTTTTTTTAATTTTTTTAAGGGACCATAAATCACAAAAATAATAATGAAAATTGAATCTCTTAATGAAAAAGCAAGGAGTCTTATTAAATATAACAATGACTACTTGTTCTAATATATTTGTTTGCAATATATACAACTTAAATAACTTTTATAGTATATTATTAATTTTAAATTATATATTTAATAATGCAATATCTATGTAAATATTACATATATTATTTTGTGATATTAATTGCAAGCATATTATATATGTACATATTATTTATATTTTTAATTTGTATTAATATACCGTTTAACATGTAATTTTTTTATGTATTTTTTTACAAAATAAAAATAAAAATAATTTTAAATAAGATAGAAAAATTGAAATTTAAAATAAGATATGAATTTATTAAAATTTATAAGTATAAAATATATTTAATATAAATATTTTTTAATAAAAATCGAGTCATGCGGTTCAACTAGTGACCCACCGGTTCAACCTTTGACCCACTGACCCAGTACCTTAACCGGTTCGATGACCGGTCCGGTTTTTAAAACTATGGGTTCAGGTGTGGGGTCCTATCACATTCAGTCAGCTATGCCCATTTTCATATCCATTTGTCTTAAAGAGTAAATAAAGGAAAGATCTCATGTAACCCATATGATTCCACAAATTCAGTACAAATGAATTTAATGAAGGGGCGGAAGAAGTACCGAGAATTCATTCCAAACTAATTGCCTGTTCATATATTCAAAGCTAACAGCTCGATTCATATTTGGGCTCCCATATACAAGCCTAGCTCGTAAGGCTCTTTCAATAAGATTCCGATATCTGATTCACAATAGCACACAACAACAAGGTAAGTTTTGCAGAGCAAGTCAACCATCAGTTACTCTCATCCTAGAGAACCCCAATAAAAGTCCAACTAAATGAAAACAATTATATGCTGGGAATATATAGATAGATAACTTAAGAGGATCCATCGAACATTCAAACAGAATGAGCACACTCTTACACTATTCAATAATATTTTATTAAACAAGTTTATCCTAAAACTCACCATTAGATTAACATTTCTTATCACGTAAATAATATTTGCAAAATTATATAGATCAATCCAAAATTATTTGATATGTTACTAATGTAAATTGAAATTACACGTTTTATATACTTTTGAAATAGGTGTAAATAAGAATCATTTGATTATTTTCTTATATTTGTTCAACTTTCACAAGATTTGGCACAAATAAACTAGGTAATATAGTTATAATAGTTAAATTGATGAAAATCATATTTTATTCAAAATTATTAATGGTAAGAATAAGTGTAACTCCCTAGTATAAGTTGATTTGTCCTCACACACACACACACATAAGGCATATCAAGTGAGAACTCTTTTTATTATGAAAATTAAGAACGGTAAATCTAAATCATATAACAGTATATGGATGGTCAAGATTAAAGTTAGTTAGTGATTGACCACTTAAAAAGTAGTATGCATTTTTCTTTTAATCTTAACCATTCAAATATGATCTATATTTGTAGTTCTCATTTCTCACAATAAGATTTCTCATTTGATACACTCCCTATAATATATATATATATATATATATATATATAAATATAATATTAGTGACATATCAAGCGAGAACTTTTAGTTATTGTGAGAAATGGGAATGATAAATCCAGCTCATACAACTATACATGAATGGTTAAAATAGTTAATTAGTAGCCATGTGACTACTTAAAAATGTCATGCACATTTATCTTTTAATCTTGACAATTCAGACACGTGTTGTGTGAATTGTTTGGAGTTGTTCAAAGGAATCACCTTCCCGTGCAAAGAAATATCAACAGGTTTCCAAATGAAGCAGCTCTATAAATTCCTTCTATCCGTTGTATCAAGGTCCATAAACGCCGTGCCAATGGTCTCTGGAAAAAGAAAAATTGAAAGTCGAACTAGAGATCAATTCAATTCAATCCACTTTGGTCTATAGACTTTCAAGATGGCAGTGTAAGCTTAAAAAGGCCAACTTAAAAAAATACCTGCTCAGTATCACCCCATCTACGAAAAGCAGAGAAGGATTGTAGGCGAGCCCATATATACTGACCACCAACAGTGGCAATACAATACCAAAGCTTCTGAGCAACAGTGAGTCCAGGTCCCTCCAGGCCTGTTCTGACTGCATAGAACGTATCACATAAATAAGAATGAGAAGTTAGCAGTTAGGATGAACATAGAACAACGATGAGCAATACTTCAATCATATACATGCACTGGTAACAGACCACCATAAAAAAAATGTACACTTTAATCTTCCCTGCTGTTGGTTTGTTAAAACAAGGAAACACCTCAAAAAATTATACAATTTAACACCTTTAGCAGTATTCTTTATGACCTTGATGCAGAATACAGATAATCATAAATGATGTTTATACTTATGGTTACTCCGAGAAGAAAAATGTACAACAAATACTTGAAAAACACTTTTGAACATGAGTGTCATGAAATTTCTTATTCAAAGGAATCAACAGGATATCATCGATTACACTTATTTCAGGGCACAATCATTCATGATGCTGGTAATTTCAACAATATCTGGTGTTTTCCACATAGTTGATTACATGTGTTTAATTTAACTCTTACAACTTACTGAAAATGAATTCGAATTGAGAACTATCTCACAACATTGAAGACATGCTTTCTCTAAATAGCACTACAGACAGATGAGCTTCAGACCTTCCTACCTTTATCTCTTGACTCTACCGCACGCTCATTTCTGTACCTCAGGTTCATGAGAGCAATGCCAGGGGTTGGCTTATCCACCCAAATTGAGAACCGCCAAATAAGGAACTCAAGGAAAGCATCAAGCTCCGCTTCATACTGAAATAACATTCCTGGCTAATCCCAAAAATCAAAAGAAATTTAAAGATGTTGAAGCAGTTCCAAATTGGTAGCAAAATACACATTCCTTTCACACAATACTAACTCAATTCCCTACATAAGCGTACCTTCATTAATGAAAACACTTTAACCAACTGTTCCTTCAACATGGCTGACATTTCAACGTCCAGTCTTGCTGCGTCAACTTGGTTAACTCTTGATATAGAAATTGGGATCGTTGACTGCAGAAAACCCCACATAGACAAAAAATAATATTTTTCATGACATTAGCGATTCTTGCAGAAATTCAGGTCGAACAAGAAAAACCCACCCCATGAAAAAAAAAAAAAAAAAAAGTAATTTTGATCAGAAGGGGGAGAATATTAGCGAAAATAAAAAAGAGGCAGAAAGTAATAAGGGAATAGGGTGATGAAAATGAGTAAAGAAAAGGCGGGGAAACCCTAAATGAGGAAAAAAAGGACCTGGTGAGAGAGGGAAAGGGATTTCCATCTGGGGAGGAAGTTGTTGGAAGTGTGAATCCAAGCATCGTGTGGAGGGAGAGACATTGCGTTGCGTGATGAAGATGAATTTCGTTGGGTTTTGTGTGTCCATGCACCGCCTCTCTCTCTCTCTCTCTCTTTTTAGACTTTAGAGAGAGAAACAGAGATTAGAATGGTCTGGTCATTGCGCAACAAAGCAGGGGCATTGCACTCTTCACTCTACCATCTCTCTAACTCTAACTAGCAATTCCCACTCCCAAACGGGGTTTCTTTCGTCTTTTCGCTTTTCTCACCCAATCCAACTTTCTTTACACAATATTATTTACGACAAGACAAAATATTATTATTATTTACAAATTATACAATAAAAATTAATCATGACAATATTTTTATATTATTATTCAATCATATTTAACATTATTAATTATCTTAAAAATTATATCATCAATAATTTATAAATAATGAACTAGAGTAATATATAAATCAACTAAAAACAATAAAGTTATGTCAATCAACTCAAAAATAAATTAAGAAATTTGATATGAAAAGGAAATAAGAATTACTTAATTTTAAAACCTAGTAATATCAATCTACTTAATTTATAGTAATAACAATGACTAATATGAGGATTCATACTTTCTGATTTAGGTAAGCTTGTATGAAGTTTTAATTTTAAAGGTTGGTTGTTTCAATGTTGATGTATAGTGAACATATTATTAAAAAAAATTCCTTTTTACTTTCATCTTCTTTTTAGAGGACATTACTCAGAGGTTTACATTACTAAAGGACATTACAGTAGGAAAAATTGATTAAAAGATAAGAGTTCATATAATAAGATTGTGGGTGCTGCCAGAGTTTAAGAATCAATTGCAAACAAATTCCTTGGAGATGATTTTGGTGGATGAAGAAATTTTTTTTCCATAAATTATAACAATTATAAATTTCATTGTTGGATAGTGTAACTTTTTGTTTTTGCTTCTGTTTAAAATTTACATCTTCACCAAAAATTTATGATTAGTAAGGATATTATTTTCATAATCAATTACAATGAGTCAATGATTTTAATAAGGACATTGATAAGTTTTTTTTTGCACATATGTTGTTTTTTTAGAAGCTAATATATTTTTTCCTTCTATTCTTTTTATTGTTTTTACCTATTATAATTCAAATAATAACCTTATTTTAAAATAAATGAAATTTTAGTCTGATTCAAATAATAACCCTTTTGTAAATATATTGCTTTAATTCTTTATTTTTTATTCATATTAATATATTTTCTCTTTAATAACCTTATTTAAAATAAAATTTTCTTTTTTACTTTTATCTTCTTTTTACAGGACATGACTTAGAGGTTTACATTATTAAAGGACATTGCAACAGGAGAAATTGATTGGAAGATAAAAGTTCGTATAATAAGATTGTAGAGACTGCTAGAGTTTAAGAATCCATCGCAAACAAATTTTTTGGAGATGATTTTGGTGGATGAAGAAGTTTTTTTTCTTCATAAATTATAATTATAAATTTCATTGTTGGGTAGTGTAATTTTTTGTTTTTGCTTTTGTTTGAAATTTTCATCTTCACCAAAAATTATGATTAGTAAGGATATTGTTTTCAGAATTAATTACAATGAGTCAATGATATTAGTAAAGACATTGATAATTTTTTTGCACATATGTTATTTTTTAGAAGTTAATGTATTTTTTCCCTTTATTCTTTTAATTATTTTTACCTATTATAATTCAAATAATAACCTTATTTTAAAATAAATAAAATTAGCCTGATTCAAATAATAACCCTTTTGTAAATATATTTCTTTATTCTTTATTTTTTATTCATATTAATATATTAGCTTTTACTTAATAGCCTTTCTTTAATAGTTATTATATCTAGATTATATTCTTGCATTTTTAATTGATAAAATCCTATTTAGTGTTGCTAGATTTTTTCAATTTGACTTTTCTATCTTGCTGTCAAATCATTACATGACCTAAAGTTTAATTTTTTCTTCTAATAATATTGTTTTAACCTGAATGAAAAGTATTTATACATAACTTAAAGCACTTTTTAACATGATTGTATATTAAATAGATATTAGTCTTTTTTTAATATGTTTTTAAGTTCATTGTTATTACTATAAATTAAGTAGATTGATATTACTAGGTTTTAAAATTAAGTAATTCTTATTTCCTTTTCATATCAAATTTCTTAATTTATTTTTGAGTTGATTGACATAACTTTATTGTTTTTAGTTGATTTATATATTACTCTCTGCTGAGACGTAAGTTAACACTTATCGCATACAATTATTAATGACCTTAGTGTAATTGCTAATTTACTGATTTGATTCAATTAAGATATGAAATAATGTTTAATTGATTCAATTGATGGATTTATCTAATGCATCGTATACTGTGAGTGATTATTGGTTTCTAAAATTTAATCACCATCCAAGCTGAACATGTTATGCCTCATACATATATTGAATTTTTTTTTGAAAAATTCTGCTGTATATATATTTCTTCCTCAGTAACAACAACAAACTAACAGTATAGGGACTAACGAACTAAATTACTATTACAACAAACTCTATGTTAATTAAGCTCTTTAAATGAGTTTTCAATTTTACAGCGATATGCATATTTTTTTACCTGAGTTTCTCCTAATAAACAGAGGATTTTCCTCCTTCAAAACACCAAACTAACAATTTGATATCATAGGTGTCTTGACTGTCTTCTGCAAGTCTGTCAAATCATATTATATAATTGACTAATCTAAAATTTATACAAAAAGTATAGATTAACTACCTTCCAAATTCCAATACATTAGAATTAGAACTGTCTAGCGGAGAATGCGTTGGTAATATGTACTTTTCTCATAAAGTCAGAGTAAATTAACTATAAATCAAACTTCTTAAACAGATATTGTAAAAGCAAACGAGTTTTTGATTCATAACAATATCAATGGTATAAGTATAACATATTCTAATCAAGTCATCTTAATCAAACCATATTTCAATGTTGCTGTAAAAAAAAAATTGGATAGACACGTGGCAGTTGGCAGGACTTCCTTCTGCAGCTAGCTACGAAATAAAAAAAATAAATATTTACAAATTGACTAAATGGTCAACGTATCGAATTGGGCCCTAGAGAACTTAGGAAGCGTCTTTGTGTATTCATGGCGAAGTTCTTTAGCAAGGGCCTCTTCCCCGAAACTCTTGAGCCCATTAACCAAAACCTTAACCACATACTCATCGGCCTCAACAACCGACCCATATCCACTCTTCTTCATCAGCCCGTAAATCCTCACCGTCGATTCTCTCCTCTTGGCACCAACAACGGCCTTGATCAAACTCACGAGCCCCTTGGGATCGTCGCACCGGATCCCATCCGCGTCCTCCAGGTCGAGGATCAGACGGTCCACGTGTTCCGGCATGTCGGCGGCGGCGAGGGCCTGCACCATCTCGGCGTAGAGGGAGAGATCCGCGCCGTATTCGGATCGGAGGGTGGAGAATACGCAGAGGGCGAGGGTGCACTGCTGCTGGCGTAGGAGCTCCCGCAGGGTAGCGACGAGGTCGAACTTGATAAGGCGCGTGAGGGTGTTGGACACGAGGTCCGGGAGGTTCGGAGGGTTGGTTCGGTTTAGGCGCTTGAGGGTTTGAATGGCTTGGATAGCTTCGATGCTCAAGATTCGGCCTTTCACCAGCGGTCCACGCTGGGACCGCGGTCCGCCGCACCGCACCGGAATGTAACCCCCGCGCGTGGTTGTCACGGTTGGGGCCTTGGGTGGGAGTATAGAAGATTGGGGTTTAAGGAAGGTTGGGTTTTGGAGGAGAGACCAAGCCATTGCTAATGTCTGTACCAAAAGATAACAACGCTAGAGTCACAGAGTTTATCTAGAAGCTTGTTAGATTCTGTGACTTGGATACTCAATGACGGTTTTACCCTTTTCAAACCCAATTCTTGTTGGGCTTCCAAAGCCTGTTTATCTGTTATGTTATGGGCCTGCCTTTGCTTCACTGGGCTTAAGAAATTGATTCTAAATTTAGAAATGGTTAAATTGATGTAATTTTAAGTAATTTATGTATTGAATAAAAAAATTATACTTTTTTTTTTTACTGACGTACTTTTAGACCAGTTTGGGATTAAAAATTATTTCTTAAAAAAAATATACTGTTTGGTAGTACTTGGCACCAATGTGGCAATGCTTTACATACTACTTTGGGATTATGGTCGTTTTATCACTTTTTACAGACAACGCATGATCTTACTTTTCTATTCGCTGAGAAAGAGAAACATAAGCCACGCCTTCAATTCTCAATTATTGAATAGGATAATATTTACATCGTGGTTTTTTGAATGCAATGATTATCAGGTAAATGCCACAACTGTACGTTACTACTTTTTTAGAGATATGAACAAAGTCTTTTAGATGGTGTTCTTTGGATTGGCATTTGAACAATTTATAATGCATTCATGAACTCTTAATGCTCTCATCAACATCATTGAAACTTTTGATAGTCTTTTCTAACTTAACAATTTTCCACGCATATAGATTCCACTGAGAAGTTACTTTGCTCTTGTAGATATGGAACGCAGCTTTGTCCTCCCTCCTCGTAAGGGTCATGAGGCTATGTATTGGAAGCTTTTTTAGTGGGAGGAGTTGGAAGGGCACTTGGTTAATTGGTGCAGAGAAAGAGGCTGAAATATTATGGTCAAGTTGAATTGCTCAAGTTATCTTGGACCATAAAAGAACAAAGAACTACTAACTTAGAGTAAAGAACATAGGGTTTTTTATTTCTCAGCAAAAGGCATGGATTAGACTTGAAAAAGAAGCATAATAATGAACATTTGAATTGGCTTTTTCCAAGAACTGAATTTTATTTAATTTTAAAATTTTAACAAGACAATATATAGTACACGTCAAATATTTGTTCAGTTTATCACGGTTCTAATTTGCGATAAAAGCAGACGCAGAATTTATGTAGTAGTGATCGGTAGCCAAAAACAAAAACATATTATTTTCTTTTTATAAATTTTCTAAACATTCAAACAAACAAAATTTCCTTTTCTTTCGTTTTTTTCTTTGCTGCATGAACAACCTAACTCCTTTACTTTTCTTTCACTATAAGAAAACGATAAAATATCATTAACCACGACTCTGACACTAAATATATACTGTTAATAACAACTAACATTAAACCCGTACTAATATGTTTTCTGTAAAATTTTAACAAACAAATTTAGTTAAACATCATGGCCGATACTTCTGATACTTTAAAAAATAAAAAGTATTATCGTCATCCAGCAATACTAATAAATAATTATAAAAGGTTATTATTAGAATTAACTAGACAATTTTACTTATTAGCATCCACGTTAGAGTTGACAAATAGGAATGTGACAATTAACAACATGTAACATAGTTGATGAATGTAATGTCTGTGTGTGAATATAAATTTAAAAGTATTTTTGAGAATTTATTATTATTATTATTTAATAAAAAAAATTTCAGAAGTAGTTCCAACTTATATCCAAATAGACTTGTAGTCAAAAGTTCAATTCATAATGAATGTATATGAATTAAATATTTGTTGATAAAACACAACCTCTTAAATGGATGTTCATTAGTACCTTGATATGCATTAGTCATGAAGAAAGATATCCGAGTTATGCAGCAGCAATTTAAAAAAAAAAATGGAACTAGCTGGTAACAGTTTCAATTATATATGCATATTGGTAACGTTTTGATTTTTTTTTAAAAAAAAGTAAAGAATGATAGACAGAACTTGAAGTATACAAAACCAGAGATCCTTCTTCTGCCGTATGGTACGTACCCCATGCCATGCCATAATTTGATTGTAGAAATATATCGACTGGATTTGATATATTTGGCCAGCCATGACAACTAAAATGAACACTCCCAGAACATTTGATATAAACTGTACTGCAGCACACTAGTACACGTACCAGGATCGAGTTTAACTTTTGCAGTCATTGATTGATCGATGTTAGTTTATGAATATCAAATAGTAAAAATTTATTTAATTGGTAGAAAGAACGAGAAGGTAAATTTATAATGATTAGAGCTGTCAAAACGGGTTATCCGACCCGATCCACCACGGGTTGGTCATTTGGTGGGCTAACCCAACCCGGCCAACCCAACCCAGCTCATTTATCAGTGAACTCAAAAAAATCAGGCTCGGCCCGGCCCACCACGGGTTGGTGGGTTAAACGGGTTGGCTCACCTTTAAAAAAAAAAAATTATTTATTTTTTTCTTAATATACAACTAAAATCCAAAAATTTAAACTTATTTTAAAAATCTGAGATTCTTAATTAAGACATCCTTAAATGAATCATTCATCCCAAACATTAAATGATAATTTTAAATACAATCAAATCAAATCTAAATAATCTCAAATAGATAAATATAATCCAAAATTATCTTAAACTTCAAATACAATCCAAAATCACAAAAATTACAAATCACAATCCAACATTAAATTATTATTGTCTCATGTTGGACTGCATCATGACCCAATAATTATTGTATTTTTTCAAAAAAAAATTAATCACGGTTTGGTGGGCCAGCCCGGCTCACCACGGGTTCAACCCGGGTGAGCCGGGTTGTTAGTGAGCCGGGTTCAAATTTGACCCGTATTGAAATTTTCAAAAAAAATTTCACCCAACCCGGCTCGAACCCGTGGTGAGCCGGGTTGGCTCACCGGGCCAAGCCCATTTTGACAGCTCTGATAATGATAGGCTTAGTTGAGAGGAAACTAGCTTAGAAGAATAGTTAGAATAGATTTGAGTAGTAGAAATGACTTACTAGTTGTTTCAATGCAAATGTTGAGTACATGGCTTATTTATAAGCCTCAACACCATCATTTATGTTTTATGTGTAGAAGATTCTAGAGATATCTATTCTAGAGTAGAGCTGTCAAAACGGGCTACCCGGCCCAGCCCGGCCCGGCCACCACAGGTTGGCCATTTGGTGGGCCAACCCAACCCGACTCATTTATCAGTGAGCTCAAAAAAATCGAACCCGGCCCGACCCACCACAGGTTAGTGGGTTAAACGGGTTGGCTCACCTTTAAAAAAAATAATTTTTTTCATTTTTTTTCTTAATATACAACTAAAGCCCAAAAATTTAAACTTATTTTAAAAATTTGAGATTCTTAATTAAGACATCCATAAATAAATCATTCATCCCAAACATTAAATGATAATTTTAAATACAATTAAATCAAATCTAAATAATCTCAAATAGATAAATATAATCCAAAATCATCTTAAACTTCAAATATAATCCAAAATCATCTTAAACTTCAAATACAATCCAAAATCATAAAAATTACAAATCACAATCCAACATTAAATTATTATTGTCTCATATTGGAGTGCACCATGACCCAATAATTATTGTATTTTTTTTAAAAAAAATTTAATCACGGGTTGGTGAGCCAGCCCGGCTCACCACGAGTTCAACCCGGGTGAGCCGGGTTGTTAGTGAGCCGGGTTCAAATTTGACCCGCATTGAAATTTTTAAATTTTTTTTAACCCAACCCGGCTCGAATCCGTGGTGAGCCGGGTTAGCTCACCGGGTCAAGCCCATTTTGACAACTCTATTCTAGAGTTTTGTATCATCTAGTAGTTACTAGCATACATCTATGTATTTTCTATAATGATCTAGCTTATTCTAGAAGTTTGTATCACATTTTAACACTTCTCCTTGATACAAATTTCTTTAACTTCTATCATCGTGCAAAACTGTTTGAATCTACCTCTCGGTAGTGCCTTTGTGAATATGTCAGCAACTTGCTCTTCGGTCTTCAATACTCCATCTTGATTTTTTTAGTTGTTTCTGCTTCTCTTATGAAGTGATATTTAATTGCAATGTGTTTTGTCCTACTATGATGTACTGGATTTTTTGTCATTGCTATTGCTAATTTATTGTCGTAGCCATCTTGTTGTTCTCCCATTTCTACAAGTATTCTTCGTAGCCAAATTGTTTGACTTGTAGCTTCAGCTACTGCAACATATTTTGCCTTTGTAGTTGATTGTGCAACTGTTGCTTACTTTTTTGATGCCCAAGAAAATATTCCTAATTCGAGTGAGAAGGCATAACCAGAGGTGCTCTTCATGTCATTTACCGATCCTGCCCAATCACTGTCGGTGTATCCGAATAAACTTGAGTTGGTCATTGTTTTGTACCAAATACCAAACTCATTCATATGCCTTGTAGATATCTTAGAATTCTTTTAGCTGCTCCAAAGTGAATTTGGCTTGGTCTTTGCATAAACCTTGATAAAAGACTTACAACATATGTATACATTATGTCTGGTCGTGTGACTATTAAATATAGTAAGCTTCCAATCAAACTTCTGTAGTGAGATGCAACGGCATCTGGTGCTCCATCATCTTTTTGTAGCTTCTCCTTTGTCACAAGCGGAGTAGTGACAATTTTTCAACCACTCATCTTGAACTTCTTCAAGAGAGCTTCAGTGTATTTCTTTTGACAAATGAATATCCCTTTCTTCTTTTGACTTACCTCAATACCAAGGAAGTAGTTCATCAAGCCAAGGTCTGTCATTTCAAATGTCTTCAACATGTCTTCTTTGAATTTTGTCATCATCTTCATATTGTTCCCTGTGTAGATAATATCATCTACATATAAGGAGACAATGAGAGTGTCATACTGACCTTGGGTCTTGATGTATAGTGTTGTCTCACTCTTACTCCTCCTGAATCCATGATTGGTGAAGTATTGATCTATTCTATTATACCACACTCGAGGAGCTTGCTTCAAACCATATAAAGTTTTTCTAAGCCTTAGTACTTTGTCTTCATTGCCTTTATTTATGAAACCTTGTGGTTGCTCTACATAGATCTCTTATTGTAATACTCCATTAAGAAAAGCATACTTGACATCTAGTTG